AAAAATAACAACACTTTGTCAGGACCATGAGGCGATCATTCCTACCAACTTTCAGTTCAATCGGCCCAGCAGAACTTGACTTTAAGTTTGAAATGTAAAATGTTAACGGACGACGGACGAAAACGGATAGCAATAGGTCACTTGAGCTAAAGCTCAGGTGACCTAAAAACTATATTTTGCTGATACATACATAAGTTTAATGATCAAAACAAATTTGAAGATCTTGATACCTTGAGTAAGATGTGATGGTTTGGAATTTATTATCTCCCCTTCTTTGCCAATGGTGTATGTCATGCTGACATCATCATCTTTTGTTTTGGTTGTCAAAGAAACATCAGCAACTGTACACAATGAACCTATAAAACAAACAAGTCACTGCATTATATTGACATAAGAAATCTGATCTTGAGCAAATATGTTTCTCTTTCAGTCTGCCGAGGTACTTTTCACATTTTTCTCAATTTCGTCCCATATGCATGAATCAAAGATAAGCTGCTGACCAGCCCCTTTAAACAGGTTAAGGGTAGCTTGACTGAAGTATAGCTAGGCCAGTCTGCAATCCAACGTATATACCTACCCAATGCCTCTCCTCTAAATCCATAGGTACTGAGCTGCTCAAGATCCGAGAATGCTGACAGTTTAGATGTGTGGTATCGCTTAGCAACAAAAGGGACATCTGCTGTTTGAATTCCATCACCGTTATCTCTCACTTCAATTTTATCCAAGCCGAAATTCTCCTACAAGCAATAGTAACAGAAAAAAACAACTCTTTTCAAATAAATCAGAGGGTAATTAAAATCATTTATTTGACCTGTGACCTACTTAGGATTAAGGTACTTTAAGAGAATTGATAGCCTTTCACTACAGCATTGCACAGCTCCAGTAACATGAACCTACGTATACCTGTCTTGATTAATTATTGAATCAAAGATTATTTTTTTAAAGAGTTGAACAAACTTGATAACTATTGAAAATGGGTCAAGGTCATTCATGTGACAGCCCTACTAGGCCTTCACCCAAATTCATCCGAGGAATTAGCATGCTACAGGCATGAAACTAGGTCACATAGTCAGTTTCCTCTGGCCCTAACACCACACTTTGACTTTTTGACATATAGATGTCTGGTGTGGGGCGTGAGAACACTGCTATATGAAAACGTGGAATTCTCCGACACTGTTTGGTATCAGAGTAATAAGGTACTGACAACAAAAATCTACTAAGACACAACGCATACCTCACATATAGCTATAAACTGATTATTTATTGATCCAAATCAGCTCTTATTATCACCAACAGCAGCTAAATTCCGTCCGTAGAATCCTTGATTTCCAGACTGTTTGTTAACTGTTATGTAGCAGCATCATTATTTAATATTTATTTTATTTTGATTAAATAATAATAACCGAGTGCAATATAATAATTACATTCACGTGTCACAGTAAATACTATATGGTGGCTTATTTTTAACTTTCATGTAAACCTGTCTGACAAGGGTCAGGTGTTATACTAATTTTCATAACTTTGTGTAGTGGTCATGCAGCTATTGGTCAGTGCGAGGCTGCACAGTGAACTGCTTGCAAATAGAAAATCACTCCTGTGCAAGGCTTTATTGAGGACAGATGTTCATTATTTTGCATCTCTCACTTTTGGACTGCTTGGCCACAGATTACTTTAACTGCAAGTAGAACGTAGTTTTAAGGATGGTTTACATATGTACTGTGTTAATATTGTAATGCAGATCGGTTTAAATTCTATATATTTTGTGAATTAATTGAATTCTTCAATTAACTGGAATTTGAATTTCGCGCCATTTGATTACTCTTTCATAAGTTTAGGAATAATGAATTTGATCGTTCGATTATTTGTAATTGTTCACTAGTACAGGTTGTTTCCCTAGGATTAAGACCCTCGATCTTCCCTATGAAAAGGTAGGTTGTGTTTTGTGAACCTTTTTATATTTGAAATGGAATGTAAAGTATACGTATGATTCTTAGGTATATATTGTGATAAGTATCAGTCGCTGGTAATATGCTAGTATATCTGTTGTATTAACAGATGTAGATTTGAGTTGTGACCATCGTTTATTTTTAAATAGTAGCATTTATATAGAGAAGCGAGAAGTTGTCAGGTGCCTTAACCAGTCTGGTTATCGCGAGTTGGAATATTCCTTTGTGTGAATGCTCAATGTAGAATAAGCTTATACTTATTGTTGTTATATTGTTTATTTGGTTTTAATGACCATGGAATAAATGATAAACCAAGCACAACTTGTAGTCATGCGATCTTTACGAATACCAACAACCCTAGAGCATAGAGGAGCTACTACAGTTAATTTGTCACTCCCCAATACCAAACGGTGTCGGAGAATTCCACATTTTCATATAGAAGTGCGTTCTGGACCCACACCAGACATCAAAAGTCTAAGTCTGGTATTAGGGCAAGAGGAAACTCAGCCAATTAAATATTCAATTTATCTTGGACTAGCTACGACTACGTAAAGGACTAAAGTATTGAGTGACAAGCGGGTCAAGGTCACACATTTGAAAACTTAAGTCCTTCTGTAATCAACATTCTACTGTAATAAACACTCTACGGATAACTTAAGCCGTAAGTGTGCATTACTGTACAGTAGACTATGGTGGTATCGTTACCAATCTGACATCCACAGACGTTGAACCAGCATCTAGTGCGTTTTCTAGTAATTCTTTCACGACACTATAAACTGTTGTGATCACTTGACTACTTCCTAAAAGTCTGACTGTAGACTTAGGTAGCTCTCGCATCCGCGGTTCAGAGTTCGCCATATCATACACCTGCTCTCACGTTTGCTACATAAACAAACTCGCATAGGCCTACTTTCCCGCGTTTGTTTACTAAGGAAGTTAGAATACTCGGAACTATTCGGACTTATTATAAAAAAAAAGAAGGTATAGACAATTGCGCATGCGTAGTATATTTCTTAGTTCTGGATAGTTGAAAATAACGTAAAATAATCCTTAGAGCTGTTTTATATGGTAAGTAAACAAGTTCGGAAGAGTTCAGGTCAAAGAACACAGAATTACACGTGATGTCGCAGAATAACGTCATTCTACTGTCGTGGTCTCGTTAGTTGAGATAATTTGGCTACCAATGCCGTGGCAACACTCAGTCTCTTGTCCAACTTAGAACAACCATTCGGCCACCTGTCAAGTTTACTCCGTAACTTATGAACGGACAGGTTTAGGGCGCTGACTTTTTTTTTGCTCGATTGGGCCACCGGGGCTTATTAAAAATGTCTGAAATACACATATGCTATACTGATACGGGTCACAACACACATAAACATGTTTATGTGTGTTGTGACCCGTATCAGTATAGCATATGTGTATTTCAGACATTTGTAAAGTGACCCTGTGATTGGGCTAAAAAATAGAACTAAATAACAGAATTACTAACTCAAAGTTACACGTCAAAGATCTGTCCGTTGGAGGTAAAAATAGTTTTGACAAGACATGAAACGGAGAATTCTAGATGAGTAGAAAAAAAAGACATAGATTTTGCTGTGTGCAGATTATGAAAGGAATGTCCAAATCTGTTAGTAAAAAGATATTCTGTTTTCGTACATAATTTGTCCAAGGACCAGTTGGGGTAGGTGTCAAATTCACTGCAGTACTTTATGAAGTTGTTAAAATGTATCCTCTGATTTAAGTATTAGTGTACATGTTGTCCTAATGCCCAGACAGGAAATTAAAGTGCAGATGATGCATTTTGAATGTCAGGATATCCCCGTCATCAATTCCACACCCGTAGGATTATGATAAGGAAGCAACTGTAATTTCATATTCATATCGACAGAAAACTGTTGATAAAATTACTGAGGACTGTAAATAACACATGTATGAAATATTTATAAAAAAACTACCAATTGAAAATTCGTAAATTAAAAAATACATACAAACATTTGCCAGCAAATATTACACGTCAGAAGTAACCGTCATAGGTTTCTGCATGGAGAATTTGAATCGGTGTTCAAAAAAAGACAACTTGAATACACTAAAAAATATTGTCATGCAGTGGCAGATGCAGGAGTTTTGCCCTAATGACCCGGGCTGAACACCCTTTTTCTGTTTTCAAAATTATTCTGACCCAAATGTACTTGAACATTTGTGCCATTTCTTATGTGAATTTGAACAAAGGTTTTCTATATGGCTTCCCCTAGCCAGCAATTCCAATAGCTGTAGAGGCCTGCAGGTGTTGCCCAAACACTGCTAATTTTACTGCCCTAAACAATAAGACATTCCATGCCTTTTTTGGTCACCTGAGGCAAAATCTTAAAAGACCTATTGTATCACCTTTTGTCCGTCAGTAAACAATTTACAATTTCAATGAAATTTTGCAGAAACCTTCCATGGCCAAAAGTCAACAAAAATAGAGGAGGATATGGTCCCCAGCCTTCAGGGGCCTGAGGGGCGGGGCCAAAAAAGGGCAAATTGACTAAAATTTCATAAATCTTCTTCTCAAGACCCAGATATGGTAGAATCAAATACTCTTCATAGATGGAAGGGTCTTAAGGTGCTTTACCAAACTTGTGGTAATTCCAAGTTGGCAAATATGCATGATAGAAGATACATCACTGTTTTATCAGGTATAGGTATAAGCTCATTTTGAGCAAGATAAAAAGTGTATCAACCCAAACTGCACACTTATGCTTGTTTCTTTATGAGTTATAAAATTCACAAACTTCTGGTATTTTTTTTGTCTGATTACAGATGATGCGTTCGTGCGTCAAATATCCTCGTGTATTGTTTAGCAGTTCATGTCATCACAAGATACAGCTTGATAAAATATCAGCATGGCAATATTTAACTTGCAGAAACTGTAGACGAGATGAATATGATATACATGTTGGCAGGCTGGTTGTGACCGGGCTTCAGCAATATTTTGTCCAAGCAATAAAATATAACTTCCTTGCTATTTCTCATATTTCCACCAAACCAATGCATACAGTTATGTATCTTAGTAATGTGGAGTGTCACATACTGAAATTGGGTCTTGCATTGGTACCCCACTGTATTAAGAGTTAGTCATTTGTAATATTTTTCAGTTGTGTAAAAATGATAGCAGGAAACAGCAGGCATTGCCTATATAAGTTCTCAACTGACCTTTTCTTTTCTTTGATATTTCTTGTTTCAGAATCAACCAAGATGAACATAGGTACAGCTACAAGTGAGGAGAACCCAACCCATTCCTACCTGAATAGCAAGGGGATCTGGTTAACCTACACATTGGTTATCTTACTGTTCCATCTTATGCTCCTCAGTGTCCCGTTTTTTTCAGTAGCTGTGGCATGGACACTGACAAATATTTTACATGATGTGGTAAGGAAAAGGATAAACATGACAAATATTTTACATGATGTGGTAAGGAAAAGGACAAACATGACAAATATTTTACATGATGTGGTAAGGAAAAGGACAAATATGACAAATGTTTTACATGTATGTGGTAAGGAAAAGGACAAATATGACAAATATTTTATTTAAGGAAAAGGATAAACATGACAAATATTTTACATGATATGTGGTAAGGAAAAGGACAAACATGACAAATATTTTACATGATGTGGTAAGGAAAAGGACAAATATGACAAATATTTTATGTAAGGAAAAGGATAAACATGACAAATATTTTACATGATGTTGTAAGGAAAAGGATAAACATGACAAATATTTTACATGATGTGGTAAGGAAAAGGACCAAGATATGGTAGAATCAAATACTCTTCATAGACGTAAGGGTCTTAAGGTGCTTTACCAAAATTGTGATTTTTATGACCCTGGGGTCTCACGTTTACCCCTGGGGAGGGTAAACTTCACTATAGTTTATATAGGGAAATCACATTTTGGACCAACATTTGTTTAATTTTCATTGGAAGTAATTCAATTTGGGTTAGCATTATCAGTATTAGGTAGCAGTTTGATGGTATGCACATGTCAGCCCTGACTGACCTCCTGGGGCTGATGGGTGGGGCCAAAAAGGGTTGAATTGACTGAAAGTTCAAAAATCTTCTTTTCAAAGACCCAGATATGGTAGAATCAAACACTCTTCATAGATGGAAGGGTCTTAAGGTTTATGACCCTAGGGTCTCATGTTTATGCCCTGGGGAAGGAAGGGGGGGGGGGCAAAATTTGATACTTTGAAAATTTTGAGCCAGCCCTACCCCCAAGGGCTGTAGGGTGGGGCTCAAAGGAGTCAGTGTGCTAGAATTTCCTTGTTTAGAATCAGAGGTGCTAGTTTCAAATACTTTTCAGTCTTACATCTGTATGCTACACATTGAATAAGGTGGTTTTATTGTTTTTGTCACTTTGAATAATATTTCTGTTCATGTTAAAAACAGAATCAACTCTCTGTATGAATATATCAGGTGACCGTCAAGGCCCATGGGCCTCTTGTTTTTTTCTGGTTATCAATTGCAATTTTGGAATGATTTAATGCAAAATCACACCTTTTTAGTGAACAGGTAACTATTTTTGATCTTGATGTTGTATCTACATACCAACTAAATATTTTTAAAGACATTTTCCTGTCGGAAAGTGGTTGTTATCCCACTTTATTTGCATAACATGGAAACTGCAAAAAAAACTTCAAGTATTTAATTTTTACTTGTAATACAGATGCTACTGAAATTTAGCATTGTTTTGATTTGGCATTCCACAAATCTTAAATAAGAAAAACATACAAACATTTTGTTTTAGAGGTAACATCTTTTTGAATACATTTTAGTTTCAAACTGAACACATAATATCATTCCAAAAAAACATTTTTGTGTTTGTAAAGGAACCAAGAGATGCTTCAATTGTCTGGAATTTTTTCCCATCACATTTTATTGGTACTAAGTACTCATGCTTACAAAATTTAAAATACCCAGGAGAATTGATAAATTTTTATTTACTTTCAAACTAATGAAAGCTTTTTCTTTTGCAGGGGATGTTTTATTGCTTACATGTCACAAAAGGTACACCTTGGGGGACTCCAGAACAAGGACAGGCCCGAACACAGACTCAGTGGGAACAAATTGATTACGGTCGGCAATTCACACCCACAAAAAAGTTTCTCACAATTGTTCCTATTGTGTTGTAAGTAATTGAGCATCACCAGTGATTTTTCTATTTCCTTTCCACAGGGGCCTGTGCCTGTTGATTTGGGAAAATATCACCCACAAAAAAAAAATTATCTGGGGGAAGGGGCCTTTATAAGGCCCCAGATTAACCTTTAAACAAATCACTTAATAAATAATAAATTACTTACAATCAAAACAATAATTTCTTACTTAAGTAAATGGTAGAAAATATGGAGACAAATGTTAACCAGGCAAAAAAGATGATAATTGGTATATTAGTTTTTTGCAAGGCATTGTCAAGGCTTGCCTGAAAGCAGCATCAGATTACTAGGTCCGGCCTTGTTTCATAAACGAACAACTCTGGTCTAACCAGTTCAACCAATAAATGAACAATTCTGGTCTAACCAGTTCAACCAATAAACAAACAACTATGGTCTAACCATATCAAGCAATAAACGAACAACTCTGGTCTAACCAGTTCAACCAATAAATGAAAGCAGCCCAGTGTTCCTCCCAAAGTGGTAGTACTCTACGCTCAAGTTTTAGATTTACTGAGTATTAATAAACAAAGTATTAAATATTAAGTATTTAATAATGACAAATATCAAGAGTATTGATAGTATTAAAAAGTTAAATGTAAATGTAAAATTTTACCAATTCAGGAAACATGATGCTTGCAAAATTTCACAGGAATTTACTGTAAATATCCAAATATCAGCACCAAGCATTTATTGTATATATATATATTATTACTTCCATACTTTCAGATATTCCTGCAAGTATGTGTGTCATGATTATTCGATATTATCTGTTTTTCATTTCAGGTTTTTCTTGGCAAGTTTCTACACAAAGTATGACAAAATACATTTTATAATCAATGCCATTGCCTTGGGCTGGAGTGTCGTACCAAAATTCCCACAATTCCACGGTGTCCGACTTTTTGGATTCAACAAGTTTTGATCAGGCTTTGACAGAAAGCGATGGTTATGGGACAAATACAGGACAAGTTGAACCATTTAGTGATCGTAGTGCTGTGGGGAGCAAACAATTTACATGACTTTGTGGAAAAGAGATGCACTGTGGGTTATTTTTATGTCACCAAGTCGAGGCAGCCATGGAAAAGCTATATTTGTACAGTGATGGGAGGTCAACAGTATAAAAAAGCAATTATTTGTAATATTATTCTAATATTTGATTGTAAAATGTCTATGTGATAAAGATTCCATTTAAGAAATACTTATGAATTTTAATCTTGTTGAAAATTTCTGAGGTCTAGTCCTTTCAAAGAGTGTAAAAAGTCCTGAGGTTTTGTCCTCACAAAATTTGTAAAAAGTGCTGAGGTCTTTTTTCATTCAAATTGAGTAAATAGTGTACAGACCATTCAGAATCGGTATTCAGTGGCCGTCATCAGGAAAATATTGTATTTTCTAAATTTATTTTTGCAAAGAATGAATATCAACTTGAATTTTAAGAAAATCTGAATTAAAATGAAAAGGTAAAAATACAAAAAATGTGATTTTCATAGAGTAGTGGGGAATATAATTTTATATATGGTGTTATATTTATTCCTTAGTTTAATTGACATATATCCCTCAGGGGCATTTATGCTAATAATTGTAGCATTTATTGGACTAAATTCCAAACATGGGTTTTATTAATCGGTAAAAATATGGAACATGGGCTTACTGTTCAAAGCAAATAATTTTGAATATATAATAGTTGCTCATTACTTTTACATAACTTTCTCTTGACGTTTCTGTACTACATGTAGTAGGACCCTGTCTTGGGAGATATACTATTTTTCCGTTTTTAGTTGACAATATGTTAAGAAAAATTATCTATTATATATGATTGTCTCGCTGTTCTAGTTTACATTGGATGATAGAGAAAATAGTAAAACTACATAACGAAACTGTACAGAAAACCTTGTATTCTGATCTGACAGGATGTTTTTCCGATTTATTCATAATAAAACAATGTTTCTTGAGGAAATTCTTATTTATGGTTAAAATATTTAAATAATTAAGATACACAAAATGTTAAATTATAAATAGAACATGAGAAACCATGGTGTCATCAAAGGGGTGTGTGTTTACCTAATGGAGTAAAGTTGCATGTCAATTCTAGTAAGTCCACCCTAATTTCCTACATAAAAACTGACGAGGGAAGTATAATTTCACAGGCTCATTTGCAAGACAACTTTGATTTTTTCAATAGACTGGAAAAGAAACAATAATCAGCTGTTCCTGATAAATATAACTTTATCTATTTTACAACAATTATGAAACAGGTTATTTCAACTTATATTAATCACTCTTGTTGGCCCAGATGTTAGTGTGCAGGGTCTTAATTTGGGAGGAAACTGGAGTACCCAGAGAAAACCCACATGATCGGGCAGGTGACCCTATACCTTTTCATGTCCAATCGGGAACTCAAACCCTGGCTGCCTTGGTGAACGGCAAGTGCGCTATCCACTGTGCCACCCGACCAACATATGTTTCCTATATATTTAGACTGATCATTTCGACAACTCTCCAAGTGCATCAGCAACGCAGATATCTTGAAACTCCATTATTTCAAGGCATACATGCCATAGCTTTCTGGTGCAAAATAGTGAGATCAGTGAATTTTTGAGATTTGGTCAAAAATAGATAGATTTTTTTGTCTGAATTAGTGAGACATTTATAACACAAATTATACTGCATATAACATAGTATTATCTCATTTGTGTTATTCTGAATTCGAAGCCTCCAATTACTTTGTTACAAACAAAATTGAAGATTTATTGATATTTCAAAAGATTTTAGGGAGGTTTACACGTGACATGCAGTCTGGATATAGCTATCGACATTTAAAAGTAAATATATCCCAATACTTCCATCAAAGGCAAAAAATGAGAATAATAAAAAGAAATAAAAATTTAAGTAGAAATCCCTAGAGAATTTTTACTCTCAGTGACCAATGTCAGTGTGAATCCATGTAGCTATTGTTTATTCATTAAGATTGACCAACTTTTTTTCTTTTTGAGAGACCTATTGAAATTCTTGAGAAATGTGTCTCACGCCGCGAGGAAACTTTTTGAAGTAATTTTCGTGAGTCTGGCGCTCAAATCGTTAGATATGGCATGTATGTCAAGGTTATTTTGTCCCATGGTAATTAATTTCTTTGTACATACACATTTTTTTCTCATTCATTTTCATGGTCCCAACAACTTTCACCTGAAGGTTATAGGTCACATTTAGTCAGATTTGTTGTTTTTTAAATGATGTATTCTTTTGTTGATATACATTCGACATAGATTTGTTGTTGTTTTCTTTTCTCTCTCTCTCTATCTCAACATGCTGGAGGAAATGTGTCTAAATGATTATAAATACGAATAAATGGGTTTACTCAATTTATTATTCCAGGATATTAAGATGTTTATTTGAATTCTGTGATGTTTGTTTGTGTGTGACAGTTTTCGTGGAGAAATTGTGAACATATGTAAAGCTATTTTATAATGTATTTTTTCTTAATTTTGTTCAATCAAATTTTTTTTCCAGAGTATGTCTCCAAACTAAAATTGTATTCAACGTATTCAACACATGGTGTATATGTATATTTATATTTCTGGTGGATCATGTAGACTTGGTCAATTTGTATTCAGCATTTGATTGTCTCGAGGGAAGCTGACAAGTATAACAAATCATACGTGAAATTTAGTGCATGGTATGTGTTAATGTTCAGAAAAAAATCAATGCAATTTCGTTTCAAACTGGCATGCTGCCTTACCCTTTTGTTTCTCAGATTGACATTGAGCTTGGAATGTATCACTGTTACATATGGAGGATGTTACATGGAGAACAAGTTCAATGATTTGATCTGACACCAGCCTTTAGGTGAGTGTCGTATCAAATTATTGAATGAGCATAATATATGCAATATGACATAAACACGAATATGATATTCTATTTATCACATAACATTCATAATTTGAAGAAAAAAATTAAACACAATTGTGTGTTATCATATAGGTCTAAGCCAAAGTACCTACATACTCCGACCATAGCATTGTCTTTTTGCGAAGTGCAAAGAAGTTCCAGATTTTTATGAGTAATGAACAGTTTTCAATACATTGAAAATAACATTGACAAAATAAATATTTCAAATTAACTGAAATATGATTAATCATTTACTATACTATGGTATAGTTAATAAAAGTAGTACCTGTAGTGGCGTAGGAAAATGTTTCATGTTTTATACCAACCTTTAGGTTTTATTACACATGTGTATTACCATATTTATGACATGGCCAAAATTGGTCAGTTATGTTATAAATAATTTTTACTTTACAATAACAGTAGTGTAAGTTTTATTGCTACATTTTGTGAGAGCAGCTTGCACAAAGTGGTCTTAGTTTGCTAAAAGTATAAGTTTATAACATAATGAAGCATTAATACTAACCGTGTGTACTACTGTTCATGTAAGACAAATGACATACAATGTATTTACCATTGATACATTCCTGGGGTGTTATTTCTCTTTCAAAATTTTCTGATTTCATAACTCTGATTTATGTATTTATTCATGCTTGCATCTTCTGTCATTTTAGTTCATGTGTATTAGCTCTGTATAACATACAAATGTACCTTAGAATTTACCTCAGTAAGGTAGAAACTTGCATTTTGTTAACCCAGACAATATTTTTTTTTTTAAAAGTTGCATTTCAGTAAAGTGAAATATTTTTCAAAATAGGAATTTCTACTAAAATACATATGTTAACCAGTTTTCAAGTTAAGCATTAAATAATTTCAAAATTACAATTGTTCGAGTACAATAGAAAGTCGGAATAAATTAAGACTTATCTTCTTGAAGCACATATCGAAACAGATGTGACATAGCAGGGCTTCTTCTGGGGACTGTTTGGGGCTGATAATGGGCCCCATTCCCAATTAAAACTATTTCATATTTTTGCCTTATTCCCAAAATTTGCAATTAACTTTTGAAAATGTCATTTCTGATTGGTATGTGTGTATATTTCAAACTTTTGGTTTTGAAGAAGCTAAATAAAGAGGTGAGGTTCAGTAGACTTTCATATACTAATTCGGTTTCTGTGTTTTCTGATTGTGATATCTAACCTGACCGAAGAGCTTGTTTGCCACAACAATCAGAGTTATCTAACTTTAACTGATGTGTACATAAACCTTATAATTTTAAGTGCAGGAAGGTGAAGTAAAGTTGAGAGATATATGACCAAAGTCAAGGTTTTTGTTTTTCGTGTATTTATGAGTTTTGAAATTCCAGTTCAAATTCATTCCCATATTGTACATGTATGTTGGTTGTTTAATAATTACCTTGTTGACTTTATTCCTGAAACTACCAGAATTCAGTCTTGATATTCAACATACAATCCTTACGTCATTGGATCATTCCTACAGAAGGGTTTGTGCTCTAAACTGAAGTGAAAACCATTTCACTCTTTAAAAATTCATCTGTATTGCAATAAAAATCAAATTTATTTTTCAACTGTGAATAAGAAATGTAAGCCTGATTAACTCCATCTATTATATAGAGTCTAACCAACTAAACTACCTGGGCTACCAGTTGTTCTATTTCCTTAAAGCTTTGTCCAGGTTTGCCCAAAAGCAGCATCAGATTACTAGGTCCGACCTTATTTCATAAACGAACAACTCTGGTCGAACCGGTTCAACTGTTTGGATTACGATAAACAAATGCAGCCCTTGTAGTATCTTCAAATAGTCCACTCCTGCTATAATTATATCACCTGATGCTTTTTATATCTTAAATAATCATGGCTTTGTGCTTTATTTGTTGATGAAAATAACCCTTTTTTGTGTTAATGCATCTATAATGAAACTAGATCTGAACTACACACATAGTTTTGGCGTGAATGGTTATGCGCTTGGGGTCTTGCAAGCTACGGGTGGAACAGGAGAATCTGGTGAAAAATATTGAAATTGCTGAAACAAAGAAATCAACGATCAGATATTGGTCATAGGAATGTAATTTAAACATATTGGTTTAGAAAATACCTAGTCTCACGTATTGATGTTTGAACAAAAAAGTAAGTCTTTTTTCTCTTAAAAGGGTATGATCATAAGTTATAAATTTATTTATAAGAAAATAATTAAAAATCGTAAAATAAAATGTTTTTACTTTTTGGAACAAGATCCCAGTATGACAAATCCACTGCCGGACAATTTCTTGAATCAAAATTATTTTAAAAACAGCAATTTCTTTTAATAAATGACTCAATCAGTTGATTTTTTTTTTTTGTGTTTTAATAAATGAAACTCAGTTGAAGATCTTTAAAAATTGAAATGCACTTTTTTTTTGTACGTTAGTGGTTCAATTTTGTTGAGTGGAATGAAATAGATGATATTTTCATAGTCATATAGATTAGTATAGTCATGATTCAGACATTCATTTTTGGACAACCAGTTTCTGTTTTAGTACAACTATTTTCTCTGCATAGAAATGCCTTCGTAGAAGAGCACCTAAGTCAGATTTTTTATTGTAATAAAAGTTATAAAAAGACTAAATTTTTAAGCAATGTTCCTGTTGATACCATCCATCTATCATTTGCATTTCACAGTTTCCCTGATATTTCTTATATTTCTTAATCATTTATTTAAAAATAATCATTATATAGTCTATTAATGACCGCTTAGGTCTCAAATTTAAAGAGACTGATCTGAGGATTTTGAAATTTGCAAGTACTTATCTCTGAAAGTACCTTTTTATTTAATTTGAAATAGAAAAGTCAAGATCAATGATATTTTATTATGTTAGCCATGATAAAAGTTGTCCCATATTTGCTAAATATTTTAGGGGGGAAAACCAACATGAATCTGATTGTCCAGATATGTAATATGAATCCTAGCGTACATTTGTCTTGATCAATGCTGTATGATATGATGTTACAGCTACTAGGATTTGTGCAGTGTTGTAATTTAGCTGTCAACCCTCCCTTATAAGAAGGGAGACTCCCTAATTTTGACCAAAATCTACAAATCTCCCTCGAAACTCCCTCATTCAAGTCCAAACTCACACAAATTCAAAATCTACATCCTATGGTCAAATTATCTCCAGGGTGTGTGTAATGATCATAAAAGGTGTGTCTGAATCAAATGAATGCTTTTTGGAGTTATTTTGGTACATAAAAAGTAAAAGTTAATTGAGCAAAGCAGTTTCAGTTTCATGCACTTTGTCCCTCAGTGGAGATGTGGAATGGGGGAGATCTCCCTCAGTGGAGATGGGGAATGAGGGAGCTGTCCCTTAGTGGAGATATGGAATGAGGGAGATCTCCCTCAGAGGAGATGCGG